CCTCGCCGGCGGGGGCTGGAGGACGAGGAGAAATCCCCCCAGAGCAGCTGGATGCCAGGCTGCCGCGGGGAGGGGCGGCTGCTGTCGCTTCCAGAGCTCTTGGGCCAGCCAAGCCCCCCGGCAGTGGGGAGGAGCGGGGTGACGAGACCCTGCTTGCGAGCCGGGCAGATACAGTTCTGTCTGTCCTAACACCGGCCGATATTTTCAAAGAATCTGCTTAAAGGTGTTTGCCTTCTGTGACGGTTGGAAGGGCTGTCTGGGCGGGCAGGGCACGCTCCGGCGGGAAGCAGGGGCCCCGGAGAGGAGCGGGGGTCCTGCCCGCAGCCCCCTGCCCTCTGCCCACAGCCCGGAGTGCGGGCTGCCAGGAGCCTTTCTGCAGAGCCGGGCGAGGAGTTCCACTAGATGGGGCTTTGGGACTTCCCACCAGCGGGGGAAGACCCTGGGCTAACACTCTCTGCCTTTCTCCGGTTTAGGGATTACCACGGAGGGCGTCTACCGCACTGTTGGCAGCAATATTCAGGTGCAGAAGTTGCTGAATGCCTTCTTTGGTAAGAATTCATTATTTCTTGCAACTACATTGCCCTGGTTTTGTCTTGTTTAAGAGGGACAGAGGGAATAGGGTTCCACAGGGAGAAGTGTCCGGCGTGGCTGCTGGGCCCTGTGGCCCCTCTGGGGCACATCTTCCCCTTTTCCAGGCTTTTTTCTGTAACCCACTCTGTTGCTTCTCTCTTTAAACTGCACCTATGTGTTTGTGGTGCAAGGTGCATTTTAAGTTAAGTGAGCAGCAGCGAGACAAAGCGAGGTGGTGACCCTGGAGCAGCGGGGACAAGCCTGCTCCCATCATGTGCTAAAAATATTCAGGCATTTTGGAGTCACGTGCTGGGGACATATTCCTGCCGCAGGCCCGGGGTGCGGGACATCGGCCAAAGAGAGAGGAGCTCTCGCCCTCTCCTCTGCTGCCTGCACGGCCGGCAGCTCCCAGTCCAGGGCTGCGGGAGCTCCCGGTCGAGCCGCGGCAGGGGCGGAGGGGCCGTGGGCAGCGGGGCTGCTGGCGCCGTCGGGCACGCGTGGCACGGCTTTGCCGGCATCGCCCGACAGTCAGGCAATGGCAAGAATCATTGCTGACCCGGCCATCCCAGCTCCTTTCCCTTGGTAACAGCCTGTGTCCCCGTTCTTATTTAGGCAGCGGACATGAGAACCAGACCTGAGGGTTAGCACTCGTTAATTAGCGGGGGCATCCTGAGGGCGGCCCAGCACGGCCACCTCCTCAGCCGGCCCCCGCAGAGAGCTCGGGGGGACACTTTTGCTCAGTGGGGGGTTGCGGAGAGCTGTGTTGGGAAGGTGGCCTCCATGGGGGGGCCGTTATCCTGGTTTAAGGTGTTCACCTGGGAGGACTGGGGTACCTCAGCGTATGCAATGTGTACGTTAATAAGCCGATGGCTGCATTTCTGCTGTGAGCCTTCCTGTGCACCGAGTCTCGCATCGCACACAGGTGTGGGAACTGGTGGGTGTCTGTATACAAGAAACAGTTAAACACCCCCCCCCGCAGCAGGCTGTGGGGCTCTCCCAGTATTCCAGTGGGGCTTTATGTAGTGTTCAAAGGCTTTTATTGTTGTTTTTTACTATTGTTTACTATTGTTTTGCTATTGCTGTTGTTTATTACAGCAGCTGGTTCGTGTGGACTCGTAGCTGTACGCGATTCCCACGGGGCCGTGACTTCAGACAGCAATCTGGTTACGCTTGCCTGATGACTAATTACTTAGCCTCAGTTTTTATTGCTTCTGGCTTCTCACCCTCCCTGGGAGTAGCTCGGTGGTTTTCTCCTCCAAACCCCACCAGCGAGTGGCTTTTTGTTTTATTTATACGCATTGGTCTGGTTGACCACTTGCCACCCCGCTGTGTGCGAACTCACGATGAAAAGTCCAACAGCCCAGAAATAACTGCTGCGGAAGGATTTCATCATGAACTTCGCTAAGGAGAGAGTTTGGGGGGGTTTTTTGCCTTGAGCCCTATTTCTTCTTTAAAATAAATCATGCAGTTTATTTCTTTAGTCCAGCTGCCTCTCATCCTCCAGCCGTGTCCATTACTTCATCGTACCACAGGGATGATGTGGCTGTTCGGCGCGGGTAGGCAGGAGCAGTGTGTACTTCCACGCCGCTGTGCCGCCTCCTCTGAGCTCCCTCCTCTCCGTGCGGCGAGGGGGAACGTTTCCAGAACAGCCTTCAGGGGAGTAGCTGCGAAGGAGGGATTGGAGCTGGACGCTTAGATTACTTTGGATATCAGAAAGCTTGTCTTGGATCTGTTGAAATGCGCCGTTTCTGCCAGTCTTGGCTGTGCTGGGAAAAAAACAAACTGTGGAGAATATACCCTCAGTAACTGAGCACTGCTTGCACGTTACCTCCTGCTCGTCCTCTGTCCCTGGTTAGCGCTGCTCCCCCGCCTTGCCAAAGTACTGACGCCGGTCCTGCTCTGCTTTTCCCAGCTGTGAGGCGCAGCAGCGTCCCAAGAGCACGCCCTCCCTAGAGCCTGCTGTTCATTAACAGCCTCAGAAGGGACCTTATTTTAAAGCCATTTTGTTCTTCCTCCAGATCCAAAATGTCCGGGGGATGTGGATCTCCAGAGCGGTGATTGGGACATCAAGACGATTACCAGCTCGCTGAAGTTTTATCTCAGGTAGCGCTGCAGCCACACCTGCCCCGAGCGGGCGGAGGAGCTTGGGGCTGGTGCGGGTGAAGAGCAGAGAACTGCCAGATGTTAACACCTGGCTGTTGGAAAGGGCAAAGATGTGACCAAGGCTTTGGGAGGAGGAATGGATTTTTTTTTTTTTTTTTTTTTTTTTTTTTTTTAAATACGCCTGTTGTAGAAACCCCTCATCCTATGGGGAAAGCTGCTTAAATTATGCTGGCTGGGGGGGAGATGTCACCGGGACCCGGTGGGCCTGTGGAGGGCCAGCAGGTTTGCCCATCAGCCCTTCGAGATCAGTCGCGAGCGGGGCACGCTGCCCTGCTGGAGCTCACTTTTCTTTCTGGTTGTTGCAGGAACCTGTCCGAACCCGTCATGACGTACAAGCTCCACAAAGAGCTGGTCCTGGCTGCCAGTAAGTCCCACGGCCGCCCCGCCAACGCTCCCTGGCCCTGCCCTCCCCAACCAGCGTACATCAAAATCACTTGACAGAGCTCTGCCAGCCCGACACCGGGGTGTCCGGCCGCGTTCCCCGTAGGAAGAGGAGTGACCCTCTCTTCCGAGTGCGGAACTGTGCAAGGGAGGGGGTGGTATTTCTTCCCTTCTTTCCTCTGCTATTGCAGTGCTCTTCCCTCCAACAGGGCTTCATGCTCTCCGAGGGTCTGGGGAGCCAGGGGATGTCAACTGGCCTGAAACCAGCCCAAATGTCCCAGAAGAATTGTTTCTTGATAGCATTAATACATTTATTTTAAAACCCATGAGTGTTTTAAAATGGGGTGTGCTGTTGCCACACAGATAGGTAGATGCTGTCTTTAGGTCGTGAAATTTTCCCTGGGATGTTGAATCCGAAGTGTCTAGCTGTACATCAAAGACATTTTTCTGCTGCAGCTCTTGGGACTGAGCCACAGCCAGTGTTGGTGGAGATTAGCCAGGTACCATGGGTGTACTGACAGGGCATCGCCTGTGCCCAACCGGCCAGTGCTCGGCTGTCCTCTTGTTATGGCCATTTCAAATGACCCGTAATAATTCTGAGCTGGCTGCATCCTCAGGGTGTGCTGAGATGGAGACTTGGGTACTGGGAGTTGGCCATCTCCCTCAGCGTGAGAGCACTGGCATTTGGAAATCTATGGCCCACTCAGCAAGACTTCGGGTTAAAGCATCCTTCGTACCCCCGCGCCTCCTTGAAGGCAACAGGAGGGTAGGAGAGCACCCGCCTCTCCTGAGGTTGGGCCTCTGGAGGTGAATATCACTTGTTCTTTCTTGGAAAGGAAAATTTTCCACCACCTCCCTCATGTTCCCCAGCCCAGGATTTATGAGGTTCAGAACGGGTTAAGCCGATGATGGCCGAGTATGTGCAAAGCCGTAAGCCCTCCCCTCCCTCAGCCACGTGCGCCACTGAGCTCCCCAGCTACTGAGATCCCACACTATTCTTTTCACACCGAGTATTTTATTGTTCCTTGATTATTTATGCTTGTAAGGCTGCCCTCTTTGGGTCAAGGACTCAGGTTTTTTTTTTTTCCCTGCAGGACATTTTACCGCGTTGTTCAGTGTTGCGGCTGTCGGGGCTGATAAGACACCCAGCAGAGGGGCCGTGGGTGCCCCCATGTGTGGGGTGAGGGTGCAAAGGGAGCACCCAGCCGTGCCCAGCCTGCTTCCCCAGCCGTGCTCAGAGGCCGACTGCAATCCTGAGCTCCCTCCCAAGCTCCATGGCTCCCTCTCCACTTCGTTCTGTTTCTCACAACGATGACCCTGTTGCTATGTAATCGCGCTTTCCTCCTGCTTCCCACCGCCGGGCTTGGCCAGCCAGCCCCACGTTGCAGAAGGAACAGCTCCCACAGATTTTCTTTGGCTTTATCTTTCTCTTATGTATTTACTTTGAAAGTGGTGGGCACAAACTTTTCTTTGTTTTACTTCTTTCCAGAATCTGAGAACTTGGATTACAGGTTGGGAGCGATTCATGCGCTGGTCTATAAACTACCTGACAAGAACAGAGACATGTTAGAGCTCCTCATACAACACCTCGTCAAGTAAGCAGGCGTTTTTCGTGAGGGGTGTAATGGAATCAGCAGAGAAGCCTTTTTCTCTGGCAGGTTTGCAAAGTTGCATCCACCACAAGTCCCTCTAGGAATTTACATTGGAACTGCACAAATCCTTGCTGCCCACTGCATTAAGTGATGCTTCTCTTTCTAATCGCCACTGTCATCCCCTTTCTGACAAGCACCAAGCAGGAAATAATTTTAATATTAAAATGCAGCAGAGCTGTCAGTTGTCACCTCTCACTCCAGTTAACAGGAACATTAGGTCCGGGGGCTGGGAACAGCTTCAGGGCCTGTGCCTGTGGGCTGACCGTGAAGCATGCTTTGGTTTTATCTGTGGCTCTATGGATTCAGTGTCCTGAGCCCTTGGAGCAGCACCAAGGCCCCAGCGTGTCAGTCTCTGCTCGCAGACAGGCGTGCTGGATGCTCGGTGGCCCTCAGCAGCGCTGCTTCCGCCAGTGAGCCCCTGAAAAAGCCCCTTACCTGCTGATACTGGCACCAGCACTGCGTTGGGAAGCGGGTGTTTGCCTGCCTCCCTGTCACACCGAATGCAAAGGCTCCGTGGGGGAGCTCTGCCCTCTCCGCCCCAGGGAGGAGCAGGGGCGCAGCAGGGGGGGACGCTTGTGACGAGCCATGCTGCAGCTCAGCAAGGGAGCAATCTGTGCAGGCCAGGAGGGACCAGGGCTTGCAGGAGCAGTGGCTTTTGTATGACAGGGCTGGCTTTGGACCTTTGGGGAAGTCCTTTTCAAAACTGGACTGTTTCAGACATAAGCAGGGCTGCTCGAAGAGGGCTGCTTGGCCCCCGGTGCCGTGCCCCCTCTCTGGGGCGAGGAGGGCTGGCCAGGGGATCCCGCCTGCTGTCCGGTTCCAGCCTTTCACGTGCACGTTTGTGTCATCTTCAGAAACCTTTCTGCGTAAGTGGCAGAGCTGGGAGCGCCTGGCGTGCAGTCCGACGCCGCGCTTGCAGGCGCTGTGTTTATCCCTAAAGCGTTCATGCTTAAATTCTGTTCCCTCTCCCCTCCGTGCTGACAGAAACCTCTTTAACACCAGCGCTACAGGGCAAACCCAGAACCCGTTCCAAGTCGGCATCAGCCTCGCTCCTCCGGCGGGTCCGGAGCCAGGCGGTGCCCACCTGGGTGCTTGGGGCTTCAGTCAGCACTCGGTGCTGCTCCGCAGGCTTGCGCGTTCCTCCGGAGCCGGAGGGGCCGGACAGAGAGCGCTCTGTCCTGGGAGGCCGTGGTGCTTTCGGAAAAACGGTGCTGTGTGGAGGTGTACTGAAAACCTCCAAAGCCTGCTCCCTGCCTTCAGCCCTCCTCCTTCGGAGAGAGGAGAAATTAAAGCCAAAAGTCAGTTCTGGATAAATAGGATATTCCCATTGAAGTGATTCCTTCTGTGTATTTGTTGCGCAGACGACTTTTGATTACAGGGTTCTGGGAGTGGGAAGGGGTCAGATAAAACCGCTGTCAGCACGGTGCTCTCCCACAGAGCTGTCCCATCCAGCGTGGGTGTCCCAGCTGCAGACATGTTTTATCTCTGGCCGGGCTGGGAAACAAATTCTGCTGGAACAAAATGAAGAAAATTGGCTGACTGGTTCTTACTGTATCCCTTTTTTTTGTTGCTTGGAATAAGATTTGTTCAAAAAAACCCAAACCAACCCCAAACCCCTTCCTCCTTTCCCTGCTCTCCGCAGCGTATGTGAGCACAGCCGAGAGAATCTGATGTCTCCCTCTAACATGGGGGTGATATTCGGACCAACCCTCATGCGAGCACAGGAGGACACCGTGGCAGCGATGATGAACATCAAGTTCCAGAACATCGTCGTTGAGATCCTCATCGAGCACTTTGGGAAGGTACGGGCGGCAGCCCCAGCCACCCCTCCGGGCTGCTCCGGAGCATTTGGGCAAACCGTTGCTGTGGCAACGATGTAGAGCTCTGGCTCCTTTTCCTGGAGCCTCCTTAGGGCAGGGATTTTTTTATACAATATACTGCTCTGAAATGCTTCAGAAGGAAACAAAAGGTGAAGCAGACATGTTCCCCGCTGTCGCCTTTAGCTAGTTCCAAAGGAAACCCTGAGTCTAGGGATTTTTGCTTTTCTTTTTAAATAAGAGGAATCTTTATTGGAAAAAAAACAACCAACCCTGTTCTATGCCTGGGCATTGCGGGACCTTACACTTGCCTTTGCTGAAGGCAGGAGCTAGACCAGAGCATCACTGGTTTCAGTGGGCACAGTCCAAGATGAGACGCTGTACAACTGTTAATACGGGGGGAAAACCCCAAAGCAGACACGTACTGAAAGGCTGATGAAGACACTTGAGCGGTGCATACACGGTCTGTTCAGATCCGGGGTAGGGGTGGGGTGGGCAGGTCGGGGGGGGAGCCGCTGCCGGGGGTTGAGCAGTCAGAGGAGGCTTCAGCCCGTGCCGGTGCCTGTCGTGCTGGGGCAGTGCTGTGCACGGGGCCGTGCACCCCGGCGAGGGCTCCAGCAGCGTTCACCTTCCAAGGGATCCTTGCTCAGTATTTTTGTGTGAGAGCATTGCTTAAGCGCAGTCTGGATTAGCCTGCTGGGGTGGGTGCCGATGATTCCTTTCTGTTGTTTGGTGGTCCTGATGAAAAGCAGAACATTCCCTTCTCTCTGCATTAGCCCCTTCTCCTCCTCATATCTGGCCTTAGGGTTTCCAGGGTGGCTGGAGGGTGACAGAGCCCTGTGGTGATATTTAAAAACTGGAGCAGCGTTTGCATTAGACCAGCAGACCAGGGCCCAGATTGCGTTCCCGATAACCGCGCTAGGTCCAAAGGAGTGAGCTGGGCCCCTCAGCTTTTCAGAATGCTTTACGTTACAGAGCGTCCAAACAATCTCTTGCGCCTTAGAGGTAGGGGAAGCTCGAAGCCATCCCTTAAAGGCCGTCGTTTGCTGTGAGGAGGATGGAGTCGTGCTCCCAGCAGACAGGGCGGCACGCGTGCAGAAGTGAAGCTTCCTTCTCGGGAAGGGAAGAGGAGGCCAAAGCTGAAAGAGCAGGGTTCTTGCAGAAGTGGATGTGGATTCACAGCAACCAAACGGGGACCAGGTGGGTGGCGTGGGAGTCGTTTGTGGTGCAGAGGGCTGAAACAAAAGAAATGGGATGAGAGAGCCCAGAGAAACTTTTGAGTGTCCACACAAGAAGCTCGTGAAAATCACAAGCCAGTTTCTTTGTACATCTCTGCAAACGCTTGAAATGAGCTCCCATGGCAAAACAGGGAATGGTTTGTGTGCTGGGGTCCTCGCACCACTTGCTCCAGAACGGAGCCTCTGTCCTCCCGTCCCGTACAGCCCGCGGTGCAGGCTGAGTCAACACTCGGTTTACCCTGCCACTGGTAAGACCTGGCATTAAATCTTTAATTAAGCCAGACATCTCTTTGCTTGCTTTTAATTTCTTCAGCAATAAGGTTCAGCTCGTAACATTTATTAGATTGAGCTTGTAAGTTCAGCGTCAGCGCTGGAAGTGTCCTCAGCTCATGCACGAGCAAACACTCAAAATGAGTCTGGAGGAGGAGAGGGGCATGGCTGACGTAGTGCCCTAGGGAGACGCGCAGGACAGTCACCAGTCGCGACGTCTCTGGGGATAATTACTGTTTCCACAGCTTATATTCCAGTGCCGAGATTAAATTAAATAAATTGATTGCTCTGGAAGCACCTTCTTCACTGTATAAACCTCCTGGGGGGCTGTCATTGTCTTTGTACCTTCAAGTTGTTTAACTTGGATTTTCATTTAGAAGGCGGAAGCAAAGCAGAGGCTGCACCCACATCTTAAACGAGTAGTTTGGACTGGGTTTTAATGTGGTTTTCAGACGTTGGAAAGCATCTCATGAAAACAGCATTGGGTGGTACCTGTATCAGCGTGGGGAACTTAACGCTTTTTTCTTTAAAAAACAATATTGGACACTTGTCAATATGTAGGAATGAGACTGATGTTTCCAAAAAATGGCCCTGCTGCAGGTAAACCTTTGCTATTTCAGTAATACATGAGCTGCTGCTTTTAAATCACGGGCTGTTCATGTCACAGCAAATCCTCCGTGTCCCGGCCGGGGGAACGTGCCAGACCTTGCCTTCTGGAGTGCAGAAAATGTACTGCCCCTGCAAGGGCATCAGGCATCAGCAGCCACGCCACCGAATCGGGAAGGCAAAGCAGCTGAAATGGCGAGAACGGGGTTTGGAGCCTGCCTGGGTCTTTGCCCCGGCGTTTGTCCCGAGCCTGCTGAGCGGAAGCCTGGGCAGACGCTGGGCGCAGCTCAGGTCCGACCTTGCCCGAGCGGTGTGGGGAGCGTGGCTGCAGAGGCGGCCGGTGCCCGCCCTCGCCGTGCTGCACCCTGCCCGGTCTCTGGGGTCAAGAATGTTAAAGCGGGGCTGTGTTTTTTAGTCTCATCCCCCATCTTGATTTCCCAGGACTGCCCTTTGGCTGGGAGAAGAAAGAACATGCTTTTTGTTTAAATTACAAAAATGGTGTAGTTGATCAAATCAGAATATTAATGTCTTCATTTAAAAATTTTTCTGGGTGACACCATCAACTTGTCCTTCCGTAAGAAAGCATGCAGCGAGGGAGCGGTGACCCTGCTCCTCGGTTGGGTCGGGTGTGAGCTCTCGTCCTCTGGGCTTGAGCTGCCTCCTGCCAGCAGCCAGAGAGGGACCAGGACGGGCAGCGCGGCCTCGGGTCTCAGCAGCCCATGCAACCCTGAGAGCAGTAACTTGCTCTTTAAAGCCAGATATAAATTCAATTAATATCCATGGGAAGAACACAAGAGCAGTTGGTTCTGGTACTTAATGTGGTGTTTCAGATCTTCAGGAGACTGCCCAGAGGCTTAATTCTTTTTCAGCTCTTAAAAAAAGCACTGACATAAATAAGAACCGCTAAATTAAACCCAACCAAATATGTGCCATATGACCAGTGAGAAAAGGAGACAGAAGTCCTTAGCAGCATTGGGTTTATGCCAGTATTTCATTTGAGGTAATTTCACAGGGCCCCGCACATCGCTGTAAGCCAGGAGCTGAAGGCGGTTTTAGTGTTAATGTAAAGCAAGGTGGGGGCTTGGTCGGGTGCTCTGTGCAGATTGTGTCTCCTTGCTGCTGGGGAAACCTTGCCGTTCCTCAGAAACAGCTCCAGAGTTTCCTTCATCTGCTCCAGGACCATTTGCTTCTGCCCGTTTTGTCTGTATTTGGGATGTTGCTGCGTATCAGTTTGGCGCTGCTGTGGGTGCGCAGGGGGCGGCGCAGGCAGCCTGGCTGTCGGAAAGCCCACGGCCGGGCACGTCTATAGAGCCACAAATAAAGCATCAGCTCGGCTCCAGCACCGGCAGCCGGGGCTTTCCCGGGCGCTGCCGACCCTTGAGAGCCCCTCTGCAGAGAGGCTGGGGGAGCCCGGGTCGCCGGGGCGGGGGCAGGG